GTACAGTACGGTCTGTCATGTCAAACTAGCGAATTATTGAATTATGGACACAGAAAACCAAAGCATTTTGACACTGTGTCACACTAATTCTGTGAGTGTGCAAGACTGCTTCGCTTGCTGGCAGTGGTGTACAGTGGTGTGCACTATTTTAGGGGTGTAAAAGATAAATCAGCAGGGAATTGCACTTTTCTATGTAAAGTAGCAGCCTGGGTTGCTACAAACTGAGAATATTCCAGTCCAGAGCTGCATTGTACTATGTGAATCTGCCCTTTGTATCACAAACCTCAATTCCTGTCTTGTAACAATCACAGTGAATCAACTTCTATTGGTAAAAAAATATCCTTTGGTCAGAGAGTTCAAGAACTTCAGATCTTCTTCATTTTCAAGAGTCACTTAATGAGTCTGCAGATTGGGCCTGGAAGGCGAGTTGACAACCACTATAATCCCCAAGAACTTGGAGAACAGCCCACAGTCCCAAAGCAAAACCAGAATGTTGTTAAGGAAAGAGTGTTTCTCACTCAGAACTGTACCCTCATGCTGATTGGTCTCTTCAGCTTCTTTGGTCTTCCTCCTTTTTAGTAAGTCATACAAAAAGTGCCCTGAAGAGGATTGTTTTTCTCACCTGAGCCAGTAGAGTCATTCTGTTGTGTGAATGGAGACAATAAAAAAGTCCAAGAAATAGCTGAACTTACCGGCTATTCTCTTTGTAAATTAATGAAGAACTAACTAAATACCTAAGCTGCTGATGGAATTTCTCTGAACCACTCAGACAGAATGGGCCCTTAAGGATATTCAGCCTCAACTTCTGGAAGTCTAATGGGATGTGGCAAAGAAAATTGTTCTCAGTAATGCTGGGAAACCACAACTGCTGTTTGTCTGCCATTATAACTAATCCTTTCATATAATGGGTTGGCTGCAAAGCAAGTTCTTCTCTTGGTTTCCAGTTCTTGGGCTCCTGGGTTTGAATACACGGCTTTGTCAGTGGTGCATCCCACTGTTCTGTCCACAGAGCACTTGCTAACTTTGTCTAGTGTCTTTCAGTGGCCCTCAGAGCCTCCAGGGAAACAGGTGCAGGTACACCAGAAACTCTTGAGTTCACTCGCTTATCTGGTTTTTTTCTTTGACTGCATGCCATCTGCAGGGCAGAATTAGCCACATATAAAGTTAATGCCGTAAGATTACTGTATCAATTACAACATAACCTTGCACTCCAGCTGTGCTTTCACAGAAATGTAGCTCCTAGGTTGCAGTCTTTATTCTCATTACTATTTTTTGGAACAACATCAAAACACACATATATTCTTTGTATGCAGCATAGCAGTGTGAGGTCAGAAGCACAAATAGGAAAGGGGCATATTGCATATTTAAAATAGTGTAGAAAAGCAGCAGCAGTATGGGCAGGTCTCCAGACACCCTCCCCTTCTCTGTTTAATCTGCGACCTGTGCTACCTGCACACAAATATTCTGTTTCTCTTTCTAGCAAGCACACAAAATGGATTTGCCTGGATGGGTGACTCCAGAAGTCATGGCTCATTTGAAGGAACTAAAAGACTTTGGTTTTGAATTTCTATTTGGGATCCACAATCAGATAGAAAAAGCTCGTCTGCAAGGCGGTGAGTGCACCTGGGAGGGAGCCTTGTGCTGCTCTGTCTAGCTTTTGCCTCTTACCAGCTGTTCTCTTTCCTCAGGGGTCCTGCTGGATCACATAAGGAAAAATCTAACCAAAGCAGCAAATGCTTCTGCCCATCAGAACTTAAAACTACTTGCCTATTCAGCAGTAAGTTAGAGCTGGAACCGGCTTTTAGCCATCTCCTTCTGCTTACAGGGGATTGGGGCTTGGTGATAGTTTTAACCCCTTCTAGCTTCCCTACAGCCCGTGCAGTGATCAGGACATGCATCTTTGCCTCTGACTGGGTGGGAGATGCAGTATCTGGCATTGTTCTTGTGGGATCCCTGAGGAAAATTCTCAATGTGTCCTTACTCCTGTTAGCTTAGGCTCATGAACAAGACTGGCAGACTTTGGAGAGCCACTATTTATTTGCTAGATGGGTTGATGTTACTCAAATATGATGTTTCAGAAGTGTGGATACAGTTGTCTCCCCTTTCCAGCAGCCTACTGCCTGGAAAGTCAAGCATTTCTTCCAAATTGCTCTCTAGAGATTAATTCTCAGAAAAACAGTGCAGTATATATCTGGGTGTTTCACTTCCTCCCCTTCTCTGGCACCATCACAGACCACTGTTCTAGCAGTACAGTTCCTCTCCCATTTTCCAGATGGAAGTTACAAAGGTGACATCCCCTCAGCACTGCCTTGTCCATTACTGGTGTAGTCTGAGCTGCGGTGCCACATCCCTAAGGGTGACTGATTTGGTTTTTTTCCCTCTTTCTCAGCATGACACCACACTTGTGGCACTGCAGATGGCTCTAGATGTCTACAACAAGATCCAAGCACCATACGCCTCATGTCATTTATTTGAACTGTACCAAGAGGATGATGGGTGAGGGCTGCAGTAAAGACATCTGCTGTGATTTCACCTCGAGGGTTAGATACCTAGGCTAGGCTCCACTCCTGGGGCATGCAATCCTGGCTCCTAGTGGAAGACTCATGAGGAAAACTTATCACTATAATAAAGGAAAGGGTGTGCACACTTAGTTTTTGGGAAGGGATGACTTCAACTAGAGGAAAAAAAAAAACACCTTGCTCTGTTTCGTTTTCAGTAACTTCTCTGTGGAGATGTTTTACCGGAATGAGAGTGGGAAGGAACCCTTCCCACTGACAATCCCTGGCTGTCAGCCTAAATGCCCATTGCAGAGATTCTTAGAACTCACAGATCCTGTTGTTCCCCAGGACTGGGAGCAAGAATGCAAGGTGTCAAGCAGCATGCATGACACAGGTGAGCCCAGATTTGACCAGAGTGTGGCAGAAGGGGAAAGTCTGAATGATACCATGCTGACCATTTATTTTCTCCCTTACAGAACTCTTTGTGGGTTTGGCTGTGTGTGGATCCATTCTCCTTCTCCTTATTATTCTCCTCTTGACTGTACTCTTTCGCATACAGTCTCAGCCCCCTGGGTACCGGCACGTTTCCAATGAAGGAGAAGAGCAAGCCTGACAGTTGCTTCAACTCCTTCCCAGGCAGTAGGAAGGAGCTGTGTTGCCCCTAAGGATGATTGGGCACCTTCAGTTACTCAGCATTCTTCAATTTTGGCCTTTACTTCCCAGAACAGAACTGCACTTGATTTCTGGATACTTTCTAAAGGTGACGTCCTTTAGAAATAACCGAGAAAAAGAACTGAGCTACTCTAAGGAAATGCCACCTTAATTTTGAAGCCAATATACTGTGTGGTGCCCTGGTCCTCATACAGCTTACTCAGTCTGCGATTCCCAACATGGCCAGTTTCAATTTTCCTCCTTTAAAGTGACTGTAAACGTTACCACTCACCATGACTGTGGCAGAGAAGCTTGGGCCTGCAGCAGCTGCCACATCCAGCTGCATTTCTCTTCAGGGTCAACCTGCTTTGAGTGCTTTTCCCTCACACCATAGGGCTGCTGATGGTAGAAAGGCTGGACTTGAGCTGGGGGTGCACCTCACCAACAATGCACCAAGAGTCATCTACTGTCCATGCAGAGGGAACTGCTGCAGATGATGGGAGACATGTAAAGTGTTTCTTGAGGTTGCTGTCAAGTAGTTGCTGCTGGCAACTGGCTTTTTTTCCTCTCTTCACACTGTGGGTCAAGAGAGGACTGTACTGAAATCAGGACAAGCCTGAAAACTTAGTTTTCAGTCAATCCTAGGATTTCGCTCAGAGTAGAATCAGAGTAAACCCAAAAAAAACTCTCTCATGAGAGAGAGCAATTCCTGTGACCGAAGAAACTCACACTCCATTTCTTATGCAATGTTGGCTCTAGAAAGGAAAGTCCCTCTAGATAAGAAACTTGGTTTCTGTCTAAAGATCCCAAGTTTAAATTTTACTTCCCACATCTGAACTTCAAGGACCTGTTAAAGGGAGTATCCAGTACTCTAGGTAATCCAGATTTCAACCCAAGGAATATGCTTTACTAGCAGAATGTTCTTATGCTGTAATTAGGAGATGTAGCAGAGCTATTCACCTAAGACTAGATTAAATGCAAAGTTCTATAGTTTTTCTTCCTATCTTCCCTACTGGATGGACAACAAACATTAAGGATCAGAGTTGGCAGGTGAGTGTGGATTCCTTTATTTGACACACTTGGGCATTTTGCCCAAAGTGTGATTCTTTCTCCGGCCTGGCCTCTCTGCATATTGCAGCTGCTGCACAGGCCTTCACACCAAGTGCTCACTACCTGCCTTGTAGTTTTTGGCAGAAAATGAGAGACTGCAGCAGGCACCAGAAGCACAGGCTCTTCACGTGGTGATACTGCACATTCACTTCCTACTTTTACTTCCCTTTCTGGGGCAGTTCCCTTCCCCTCTTGGATGCAGAAGCCAGTTCTTAGGTTACAAACATTTCCTTTTGTTCCCCCTAAGGAGTACCATGGGGACTTTTCTCCACACGGTAATCAGCATCTGCCAGCATGGGAACCCTAAATTAGCAGAAGCAGCTTGCTGTTCTCAGCATCTTCCTCACCTTTTTGTCCTCTGAAGATACAGATTAGGTCTCCTACACAGCAGAACAGTCATAAAGAAAAAGCTACTGCCTGTGAGAACAGGCACAAGAAAGAGGTAATAGAAAGTGCATTTAAGAGGACCTGTTATTTTTAAAGGCACCAAATTTTGCACATACACAGAAAAGTTTTTATGATGATTTAGTCATTTTGACTGTGAATGACTTTCTGTACTTGTTCCAATACATTTCATTATTAAAATCAATTTCGCACTGAACTATACTCTTCTTCTCTAGGAGTTCACAGGGTTAGCACCAGTGTGCTCAGTGTTGGAAAGCAGCATACCCCCCTAAAGGAATTCCCTGTTTCACAATCCCACACATCACACGGGGAGATTTGACATAAACTGGATTTGACTGCAGCAGCTATTCAGGGATACAGCTGATGATGAATGCTGTCCAACTTGGAGGGGTCTGCTGCAGACCCAGTACTACATCTCAGCCCTCCTGTAGAAAACTTCTCCCCTACAAAAGCAGTTCAGTAGTATCCTCAAAGCAGCCACTCTATCAAAGAATTTTAGTTTAGTACAAAATTTTATTGATATTAATATTGCAAAACTACAAACGTGAATGTGGAGAATCTGCACAGGCCTGGAGCCCATCCCATCCCATCAACCTCTGGGACAGCAGCAGCCTTGTAAACAAAGTAGAAAAAGCAAAACTTAACCCTTTAACAACAATCTTGAGATTTGGCTCTGAGCAGGGGTATTTGGAAGAAATCCCTCATTTCTGTTTTATAACACTGTTATCAAACATTCTGAAGCACATAGGTATAGGTGAAAAAAAATGCCTAATCATTGACAAGAAACAGCCTAGAACTCTGAAAATAGAAACTACAGAATCAGTAGGTGCCCAGCGCCATACTGTCCTTGCAATCAATGATAGAGACCTCTGGCATCCTGTTCTTTGTGGTTCAGTTAAACAGCTGCAAGCAAAGAACAGGCTAAGCCTGATGTCTTGACCAACACATTTTCCAAGCTTGCATATGGGAGAGCTTGGTATTTCCTAAGATACCCAAGCTATCCATGAATTCACCCCTGTGAACATTTTATCTTTTCAGGATGTCAGTCCTGTTAGCAAATGGTTTCTCAGCTTGGCTGGGCTAGAACAGGCTGGGGACCCTGTCATGAGCTGCTCCACTGCAGACTACAGGAAATGGGAGCCTCTGACAAGTGATGACAAACAGATATGGTAGGCTGAAAGCAGTAACTTCAGCAAGATCTGGGAACATCTTTGAAGTTTTCCTAGTGCCTCAGAAAACGAGTAGTAACTCCACCTGGAGGAACCAAGTACTGACACAACTTTCTAGAAAGGGAGGCCAAGAGGATCAGGGAAGCAACATCAGATCTGGGGAGGAAGGACGAAGTCTAATTCCCCGTATGGCTTATACTGCCCGTTGCCAACAACTGAGTTTGTATGCTGGGATTCAGAAAGGAACAAAATACTAAAGCAGTTCTCTAGATCCTTCTCTTTTTACTTCCTTCCCTGCAGTTTAGAATCACTGCTTTTTGTTTTCATCTCTTACAGCTCCCCAGACATTAACTTAGCTTTTTAGTTTGCTTGTGCCAGGGTTTGCCTGCCTCTGCCCTCCATGTCTGGATGAACTCCAGCTTCCAATCCCGTGTTCTCTCATGGTTCAATCTCGTTTGTCATGGCTTTCAAGAGATGTTCATGCTTCTTGGCTGCCATCTCCTCCTGGTTCCAGATCAGAATATTAAAGCCTGAAAAGAAAAATTAAATACTGTATATCAGAAACTCTACATCAGTCGTAATACCTTAGGCTGTGCCACTTAAATGCCAGAAATTCAAAAGACTTTTTCTAAGGTATTTCCAAAGTATAAAGGACGCAAAAATAGTTATTGCAGATGCTGTGTCCACATAGCCATGGAAATCTGATCTAACTAAGAAATATACATAATTCCTAGTGTCATCTGTCACAGGTCTAAGACCTAAATCTATAGCCAGCTAACTTAATCCCACACAGCCTGTGAAAAGCTGATTAAACTTGGCTCTGCAGCCTAGGAAATGAGATAAACTAAACAAAGGGAAACAGCACAGCCTACCAGGAAAAGGCTTTCCCCCCTCCATTGTTTTCTTCTACTGCTTCATGGATGGCACGGAGTAACAAGCCAGCCCTTTTCTGGGACTAGAACCCACACATTTAGTGCCCCAGGTTCTCTTTACTTACCCATGCCAGAAGCCAGTGTGTCTCCCATAGGGTTAAATTTATTGAGCTGAAAATGAAAACACAGAGTCTGTAACAGCATCACTGCTTACGTAAGTCATAAGAGCACCACAGCTTATATGACAGCAACAAACCATCTGGAAAAACAAGTGTTCCCTAAGAGTATCACAAAAACCCCACAAAGGCCCATGGACTAGCCCACTTGAGTCAGCAGTTTATGCTGGCAGCCGTATCCCATGACAGCATGAGTCTGTCACAAGTAAACTGGATGTGGATCTGGTCCCTAAGCCGTGCCTCTTTCCCAGAGACAGAGCAGTGTTATTGACAGCCCTTTCAGCTGCAGCACTCGGCTCACCGAGATGATCCCAGAAGCATTTGGATCGTAGAGCTGACAAACCATCTCGCCGGTGTTTCCATCAAACACATCCACAGTGCGCAGCTCGTTCAGCGTGTACCCGGGGAACTTGGGGTCTGGGTAGCGACCTACGACAATGAGGTCATAGCGAGGATGCCACGTTGCCTGATCAGGAAACAGAGTCATGGAGAGCTTAGAGAAAGGGACACAGCTCAGCACTGACACAATCCAGACAACTGACACTGGGAACAACTCTTATTATATCCCACCACAGCCTGAGAACACTGCTCCACTGGGAGTTGCAGCAGTGTAAATATCCACCCACCAGTGTAATATCTTGACCAGAAATCAGACCATTTTTGATTTGCAGATGGCTGCTAGCACCAAGCATGATGCTTCTCTTAGACTTAACTCACCTTAATAGGTGTGAGGTGCTGAAATTGTCTGTGTGGATGTGGAATCAGATGCTGTGGTTTGGTCCAGTCTGAAGATGAGTAAACCCTGATTTCATTGTGCTGATCTGTGCTCAGAAGCTTGGCACCATGTGTTGGGCTGAAGTAAGCTAGGAAAGCGGGACAATAAGGCAAAGTTAAGATCACAATTCTGTGACTGACAAGAAATGTAAGTGTCTCATTTTGCTGACTGAAAATCCATCAATAGTTCTTTAATTAAGATGTTAATATGGCTGTATGTCCCAATAGGTAAGACTTGGACAAGACAGACTACCTGTCTCAAACAAACTCAAAACTCTTACAAAAAGAAAGCTGAAACTTACCGTGCTGGGTTACCTAAGAAGAAAATTTATTCTCATTTCAGAATCACAGGAGGAAACATTGCAAAGAAAAAGACTTGCTCATTCAAGTGGAAAGACAGTGGAATAATGAGATGAACACCTGCAGTTTGGACTTCCATCAACTGGTAAAGTTGCACCCAAGAAACAGAGGTTTGAGTTCCATTTTCTGCTCTTATTAAAGGGATTGCCCCAATAAATTCTGTTTTCTAATCTCAGCCACTGCTGCTTTCAAACTCACTTTTAAGGTACAGTGTCACAGTTTGTATGGCAAGTCTTAAGAAGGTGCTGCAGCTGCCCTAGCCACCTCCCTGCCTCTGGCCACACATTCCCAACAGCTTCCTTGCTTTAATTACCATGCAACTTTGAATCTGAGCAAAACCTAACGCTGCCACCACAATAAAAGCTGAGCCGCGTGGACTCTCTGTAGAAATCCAGTGCAATGGAATATGAAATGAAATCCTTAACTCACCTGCATTGACAGGTTTCTCATGTGGAAGCAGATGAAGAAAGTTTGTTTTGTTTTTGATGTTTCTGAGGTCCCAGATTTTGACCGTCTGATCCACAGATGCTGTGGCAAACATCCACTCACATCGGGAGTTAAACTCTACATGAGTCACTTTCTTCTTGTGCAATTTCAGCTTCCAGACCTGCAGCAAACAGAAAATCATGTAGAAAAAAAAAATCAAGATCTGGAATCAAGAAATGAAATTATAATCTACTAGTGCCAAGTAAAGAGGTCTCCCATTTACAGAGTAACAAATCTTCTACAATACACCAAGAGTGTATTCACTCGAAACAAGAAAGGAAAAGAATGACCTTAGGAAATAATTATTTCATTCTAGAAAAACTCTGATCTGACAGTTTATTACAGCTATAAGAAAAGAAAACACAAGCCCAGGCCTTCAGGGAGGGAAGTACTAGTGACACTGTACTAAGCAAGATCATATCTGAAGACCTTAAGCAGTGCCAGCCTTTCACTAGGAGAACGATTTAAACAAACTGGAACGGGTAGAGAAAATCTGCTGCCCTGATAACAAGATGGAAGGAACTGCTTTGTGTGGAAAATCAAAAAACTTTCCTTTAAGTAAAAAAAGTGAGAGAAGATAATAATTGGCTTCTAGAAACATGTCACCAAAGAAACATGAGGGTAGAACAAATATTTCAATAAACAACAACAACAACTAAACACAAGGCAGCCATGAATAAATTTCTATACAAAGTCAGAAGGTTATCTCTAATCTAAAGGCTGAAGCTGGCCTATCCTCTCTAGAATGGATATCTCCCTACTGCAGAAAAGACTGTCACATTCTTTCAGGGGGAAAAAACCTAAGTCAGCAACTAACACTGAATAAGGACAAGTCACTTGGAGCACTTCTGACTCTGCCCACTACTTTCCACAGCTGCCTCTGGCCACAGATCACTGGGTGGCAAATTTTTACAGATATTACCCTTACATGCAGGAGAGAGGACAGTGCCAGTGTGACAGTACAGCAGGCTCCTGAAGCAGGGCCCACTCCAACTATTCTCTCCTCTTTCGCTCCAGACTCAGAGTCTGCCTCTGCCTGCCCTCTCGTGTCCAACAGCAGGAGTGCAATTTCCATCCCAATATTCACTGCACTACTGCTCCGTGCCTACTCTCAGGTCATGGAAGGGTGCACAGCAAAGCAGTACCTCCTAAATGACTCCCATCAGGGCACTAAGTTTATGGAAGTGTGAAGGTTGTTGGCAGAGGGTGCACACATCTTTAGGTTACCCTATAATTACTCTGGCTAGTAGCAAATACTCTGAAGGAAGGGGCAGCATGTGACAGGTAATAATTTCTTTTTTAGAAATTATTACCATTATACTCAACAAAGTAAAATGTCTACTGGGTAGCAGAGGTGGAAGATTTCTCACCACCTAGACAATAAGTGAACTCATCTCCTGAGCTGCAAGTCACTTGCTCCTGTTTGCAGAATCCCTGTAGAGTAGGAAAGCTCATAAGCCATGAAAATTCCTGTAGAGGAGATGCTGCATGGAGCCATACAAACCTCTTCACCAGAAGTGCTGAGCAGGACCACGTTGCCCACATTATCACCTGTCACCACTGCACGGCAGCTTGCAGAAACGTCCACACTGCAGTACCAGCAACTAGAGTGAAAGACAAAAATCAGTGCTGTCCCTACAAGAAAGTGAAGACAGTGGAGTTCTAGTTCACATCTCCTCCCTGACAAGGGAGACTGCAACAGATTGTAACTGCAATCTCCTGCCTGGCGGTATGGGCCTGAGTATCAGGAAGAAGGACAGCTTATCAGTAATGCTTTGTCTGTGACTGAATGTGAAACACCTTCAAAGTCATTTTGAAGTGCTTATTAGGTGGAGTGTAACACATTGCAACAGTGGAACATAATCAAGGCTGAAGAACCACTTGGTGCCTGAACATGAAAATACCTTGGGAAAGATCAGAACATCCTTGGGACTTCGACAAATGTGGAGAAACAGCTTTCAAATTATATTTTCCACAAAACACTGAAGCAGCAGTAAAGACAGAAGCTTTGGACTGAGAAGTTGCACATTAAACCGTCTCAACTTCATGCTTCAGGAAACAAAACTGAATAGAAACTTAACTTATCAAGACATATGTCTTAATGCCAGCTCTCCCAGAAGAAGGGTGGTGAGAATAAAGCTGGGGTCCTTTGGGAACTTGTTGCAAAAGCTTCACTTGCAAGATACATTATTCTAACAATTCAAGGCCATGGAAATTAACATGGTGAGCCTGAAGTCTGCAAAAGGGCCACGGGGTAAACTCAATAAACTGAAACTCAGATTGTGCAGGAATGTTGCATGGCTTTCCTTATGCTCCCTGAGCTGCCAATGACAACAGACTACTGACAACAATAAAGAGAAGGAAGTTACCCTGCTCTTCTCACCTCACACTTCATAAAGTGAAAAGCTGTCAGTATCTGCAAGATAGGAGATGGCATCACCAGAAAGTAACATGGGAAGATGTGGGCAGCATGCTCAGCTAATGTAAAAGCCTATGTTAAGTGCCCTGTGGCTGCCTAGCAACCAGGACTCTAGCTCCAAGCTCCCCCAGGGGACCAGTTCATACCAAGAGTCTCCTAACACTGGCAGAGATGAAGAAGCAACATAGCATTAACCCCAAGGAACAGAGAATTAACCTTGCAGTGCCCTCTTCTCACCAAACATTATGATGCTCATGGCCACAGTCCAGGGCACGAGAGATCACCTGCACCGCTCTGCCCTCAAGATCCTGCAGACTTAGGGTGCCATCACCTGATGCCACATAAAGCTTCTCTGCCTCATAAGGACTGAACTTGATGTCTCCGAGAGAATCTCCTGGCCCTTTCTGAAATACACACAAAGCCAAGAGACATCAAGGTTAGAGTGAAAGTGAAAATCTTCATTCAACAGTCACCTCCTGGTACACACTGTCAGTTTCTCTAGGTACAAGCACTGCTTTCTGGCAGAGCACATACACAAGAACTCTTTTTTTCTAACCTGTTTCAAATCCAAGCACACACATTCTGAGCCTTCAAAGTTTGGGCTGCAAACCTCATTAGCAGCAAGGACTGCTGCTTCTATTATGGACGTAGGACTAATCTGCAGTGAACTACCTGGCTCAGACCATGCTTAGGAGATCACAAGCAACACCAGCACCATTCTCTGCATGAACCATGTAAAGTCTCATAGCCCAGCACCAAGCTTTTCTTACAGAGGCTACATTGACTAGCTCCCTACAGGCTGCTTCCAGTGCTGTATCTGGTCTTTCTCAAGGTACCAACAAGCAGGAAAAGCCAAGTGCAAATCTTACTTATGCAAACCCTATGGCAGGAATGTTATGTTCTGTGTTATGTTGTATTGTCATTGTTGTTATGTTGTTTTCCTCTAGCTCATCTACTCAGCAAAAGTGGAAACCCTACACAAAGAAGAAAAGAGTGCTACCTGGGAGTCCCCAAACTCTCTGGTACTCATGTGCACTCCATCTGCTGCTCACAGAACAACTACTTAGGTCTCAGGATGCAGTTTATCTCTCCTCTTACCCCACCAGTCATCCCAGCATGACTTGGGTTCACCTTCTGCCCTATTATAAGCTTGCAGGTGAAAGTAATCATGAAAGCTGCACTCAGAAAGAATTAGGTGGGGGAAAGTAAAGTGAAAGCTAACTCAAATTCTCTCACTTACCTTCAAGCACACAACTCAAGTAACTAATTGAAGATCTCAGGCTTCCTCATGAGTCCACAGACAAAAAAACAGTCTTGAGAAGATAATTCTGAGAGCTGCTTCTAGCAATTCATCTCCTCTTTTCACTCACTACTGAAGGAACCCAGACTCTTAATTTTGGTATTTTAGACAAGCACCAGAAGCTTGGTGGGACGAACTGGCATGACCCTAATGGCAGGCACTGCTTGAAGTCAGTGGTCTTTGTGGAGAAGCATGGAGAGAACTATGAACTGTCCTGTAAAAACCACCTGACAACAAGCAGCACTGCTAGCAGATGAAGAGGTTAGACAGTCCCCAGGGCACAGAGCTTTCTGATGTGTTAAGAACAGACAAGTAAGGAAATCCACTGGATCCCCACTCACTCACATAAAACAGGAAGTAAGCAGCATCAAAGAGTCCCTCCCCATTAGTGAAAAGCTCTTTCCTACCCACTACCCCATATTGGGAAGAGGAAGCCCAGCTCTCACATATTAGAGACAAACATATCTCTTTTCTGTTTCTCTTGCTCTCTGTAGTGCTTTCTGCCAGCAGGACACAGAGGCCCAAAGCATTACTGTATTCTTACTCCCAGTCCTCGGTGCTGGTGAAGACCCGGACAGTATGGCCATTAAAATCCTGCAGGGTGGTAGTGCCGGCAACTGACGCAGTGTACAGCTGACTAGGGTTAAAAGGGTTAAACTTCATTGCTGTGATGGCCCCTCCAGCTCCCATCTACAAGGAAGGGGATGAACAAAAGAAAAATCCACTGAGTGATGGGGAAGGAGAAAAGTGTGTTCTCTAAGTCTGCAGGCACTGCTATGTCTTTAACAGTAACAGTGAAACACACCACAGTCCTCTAAGCAGGAAAGACAACCATGTCTCTGACATGACAGTTGTCTAAACCAGGAGCTGCCCTCCTGGAGGACAAATCTGAATTCCTTCAGTCCCCAGGCAAGGTACTCCCTTGCTGTCTGGCACCACACTACTTACAAAAAGAGAAAAGTGACTCTGGAATTTCTGGAGGATAGACCTCTCAATGTGTATCTGTCTTAACTTAGAAGGGTGATAAAAGGTACAGTCTTTGATCCTCAGCTGGAATGGAAATGGCTGAATACAGCAATGAGTGGGTATGCCATACATACACACCATTCATTCTATCTTAGTTTCTCACTTGACATAAAGGTACCTTGTTTCTCCCCAAAGATGTTTCTTCATCTGCCACAATAAAAGATGAGCAGAGAAAGATCGAAACCTAAACCAGACAAACTCTCTCTGCCTACTTGTTTCTGGCATGCCTTGGTTTTGCCAGTTGCTGTATTATTTTTCCACTCAGCACAGACCAAGTGCTGCTTCATTATGAACTTAATCACCATGCCTCAGCTCTCCCCAGTGCTAAAACAGTCTGGGACTTGGGAACAGACATGCTGCTGCATCTCAGTCCCACCCATAACTAGCTACTCTGAAACCCAAGACCCTTATGTGCTTCTCACAACAAACCTCAGTTTCTATCTGTAGTATTTCATAGTACTCCAGTTTTCCCTCCCACCCATTCCTCACATACAGAGGCTTACCCCCTTTATGAAGCAGGTTTTATCAAGTACTTCACAGTCCCAAAGGATGATGTCTCCACCTTTGGAACCGACAGCTAGCGTACTGGGGTGGGTTGGGTGCCATTCCAGACATGTCACTCTCCTGTCAAAGGGACTTGCTCTTCGAAAGAGGCAGTATGAGGAAAGAGAATGCAGAAAAGCCAGCTCCAGTCTCTGTTAAGAAGGTAAAGAAAATCATGACTTTTGCAGGCATCCCTGAGATTCTCTGAATGAGGAATGCCGACAATTTCTAATTGTCATTAATGTTAATATGTTGACACAAAATCTTAACAACAAAGCTTGCCCAGGTGCTTCCCACCTATGGATGTTACAGGAAGAATTAATTTTCAAATGAAAGGCACTTGGCTCTATGAAACAATAAACGTTATGGACTTGAAGACTATGTCTGTGAAGAGGAAAAAAATCAACACTTAACCTGACAAGACTGACAAAGTAGAGTGGATACAAGAACAGTATCACAAAACAGTCAGATCGGCAGGTGAAAGTATCACTGTGCAATAACTCAGCTGGGAGAGTGGACAAGTTTAAATATGATTCAAGGAAATACGGAATTAACAAAGGATAAAAATTGGCAGGGCTGGGTCAACCAAAAGGAAAAGCCATCTCAGCTCTTGCATTTTACAGAATTAAGAAACGTAAGGGTGCACCAGACTTGGAGCCACAAACTGTGTATGTGGGGAACTTTTTAGGCTCCTTAAAGTTCCTCTGCTTGTGTTGAAGTTCTTTTGATGTAGGGAGCTGAGATGTCCAACAGGTCCTGAAGGATACACTCCTCACCTGCCTGAGCTGTGCCTGAATGGAGCCTCCCAGCATTTTCTGGTAGACATAATGAACAATGCTGCATCGCCGCTCCAGCTGAGAGGAGAGGACTCTCTTGTTTCTCATCACAAATCCAGCTCCACTGCAACCTGCCAGTGAGGAAAAGAGTAAAACTTACTGATTAGCAACACCTGTCTTGCTCATTCAGTATAAAAAATATAAGAAAATATCTGCATTTTCTGCTACATCCATGAAAAGCTTCAGCCACAAGATAAAAGCTTCTAAATAATTCTTACACATCTAAGGTGCAGCAGCTTCTGCAATTATGGAGTCCCGTGCATCCCATAGGCCGCCAGAGATTTGTGTATGCTTTCTCTTGTTAAACCTTCCTTCTCTTTCCCACAGATTTATCAAAGATAACAGAAAAGGACTAAAGCAATGCCACAGGCGGGTGGTGCACCTCTTGAACAACATAACATTTCAATGTTTCATACCCAAAACACAATGCTGCTATCCAAAGCACCAGCAACTTGGAAATATGCCATGGGAGGTGGTAAGCCCCTGAATACAGCAAAAGAAGAGTCACATGTGTGATCAGCAGGAACACCTGAAAATTTCCCAAGTATGGCAACATGAGCTCCCACACAGTTCCTGAAAAGCCTGCTGTGAATCAGAACTTTCTGTCTGCTCATGCTGTAGCCCATACAGTCTGCTTACAGCACTGTGAGTTTTATTTTTGATAACAGACCTGCTGACGCCTCACCGCCTGAAAACCTTTCTGTTTGGAGTGATTTTTGCTGAGAGCACAGCTTGTTTCTAAATTTTGTTGACGTTCCAAATTTTTGTCTTCAGGGACCTTTATGTAAAATTAGATCTGTTCAGTCCCATGTCTATGATCTAATCATTCCCACAACAATGGTCTGTAACACCCCAGGCAATCTAAATGTCAAACACATTTCTTAAGAAACACAAATGCTATTTTCATTTAAGGACACTTATTAAAAAAAAACAAACACAGAAGACTGAAAACACGTGTATCATCCTATATGATTAGAACCTAAATTAAATCTTTCTTTAAGGCAATGATGGAAAAAAGCACACTTATTTGTTCACATAGTGAGAACACTTGTCACACTTGTTGAAATATGTACATAAATATTTCTATTCTAGCTCCTTTTTTTCACTGAAGAATTGGTATTCACAGTTCCTTCTTTAGAGGTGACAGAAATTGAGGGGTTTTTTCAGATTCCATTTTACAATGAAGGATCATTTATTAAGAAACAAAGCTTCAGGCCTTTTTAGAATCAGCTGAAAGAAACCCTCTAAAAAGGTGGTTTAATTGTAAGAAACGAAAACTGCCCTATATGGATCAGGAGAAAAAAAAATTCCAAACACATTCAAACTGGAACACAGAATGGGAAAGCTCAAATACAAAGGTCTTCATCTTCTTAAGAAAGGGTTAAGGGAAAAAATATGATTAGCCTCACTTCTCTGAAGTATCTTACAGGAACGGCAGATGCTTACCAAATACAAAAATCAGGTCATGAAGTTACAATAAAATCATGTAGCTACGTTAACTACAGAAGATGTTTTAACTGTCTGCAATTATAGACAGAACTCCTTTCAAACAGAGCATTTTGCCTCCACAGTCACTGTTCACCCTGCTAACCCCCAAGTTTGGACTTACAGACCACACAATGGAAATGTGCAAAATCATACAACCCCTGTATCTCTGACTTTTGAAAAACACTTCAGTAATTTCTGGATCCTTAAGCCAAAATTGTATGGAAAACACAGAGTATCTCCACACAAGGCAGTAACCCTAGTGTTCTCCTAAACCACTGGAATTAAAGGATGGAATTAAAGGTTTTATCTGAGAAAAGAAGGCGGAGGGGAGACCATATTGCTCTCTACAACCACCTGAAAGGAGGCTGTAGCAAGAGGGGAGTTGGTCGCTTCTCCAAAGTAACAAGTGATAGGAAGGAGAAAAGGGTCTCTATTTACACCAGGAGAGGTTTAGACTGGCTATCATGAAAAATTTCTTGACTGAAATAGTTGTCAACCATTGGAACAGGCTGCCCAGGGAAGTGGATGAGTCCCCATTCCTAAAGATATTTTTAAAAATGCGTAAATGTGGCATTTAAGGACATGGTTTAGTAGTGGATTTGGCAGTGCTGTGTTAACAGTTGAATTCTATGATCTTAAAGGTCTTTTTGAACCTAAATGATTCTATGAAGTTACTGTATATAAAGTCTAGAAAACTTCCTCAATAAATGCAAAGCATTAAACTTTCCAGTATATTAGAAATTAATCACAACTCCACATTACATCACAAATCTTTAAGATTTGGTCTTTTTCGTAAGTTAGTCACTACAGGAAAAAAATTCACATGAGGAGAAGTAATTAAAGGAATTCTGTCCTTTATGATCTGAACAGAGGTAGAAAGTATTCCTACTAACTGTAGCAAAAGTTAGAACAGGGGAAGAATGGGGCTCAAATACCAGTTCAAACTGGATGCTGTGGGATACCAGTCTTAAAACTAACAACTGCATTCATAATTGCATGAGAGTAAGAATGTATTACCAAGACTGGTCTGTCTGACACCAAAGCAGAGGTAATACAGGAACTCCATAAAACTTGGCCACCCTCAAATGAGCTGTAACAGCATCTTCAATGCTCCAGGCTTTTATCAAGGGGTACAGAGTCTCATGCACACACACTCACTCGACAAAAACTTGGAGGATGTAATACCCCAACACAAGTCTGCCTATTACTTCAACATCTAACCCCATCTGAACACTCATGTCTGAACATGCTTCTTGGCATTCTTCCTTTTCAACTAGTCAATGCCTGTCATTTGCAGTAATTCTGGTAAGAAAGAATAAGATTCTGAGGAAATGTTACCGATTTTCCCTGAGGGTTTAGATGTTTTCCTCACAAACAACTTCTTCTCTTGTTTCTCATTCCCTCGTTCTCCATAGTCCCGTTTCCTCTTCCCAGCTGATTTTGCCTCTTCTGGCCAATGCTGACATGTCCTCTCACGCTTCTTGTCCTTTGGCTGGTTCACTGGAGCCATTCTGTCTGACCACTGAAAGCAAACAAAGCATGGAAGGTAAGACTGTCATACACTTCTAACCAGAGGACAGAGAGGAAAAGTGGAATGGAACATATCCCAGTTAGTCTGAAGGTAGTGATTAGACCTGTATCCTCTTTCATTGGGATGACACTAGCTTTTTGTTGTTCTCTACTGAAGAATAAAATCACTTACTATTCAATAAAATCTTCTTTGTTCACATATGAAAATTAGCGTATCCTAAAGCACTAGAATATGTTTTGACAGAAGTGCCTCTACCAGACTTTCAAGCCTGAAACCCAAAGATCTGCATAAAGTACATCTGTGAAACCACATAATACCCTAACTGTTTTTCTGGTAGCTCACACTGAGCTCTTTAGATTCAGCTAAGCAAAAGGTCATAATTTTTATGACGATGGCCAGGGCTGACTGGCCTTGCAACAAATGGGCTCAGAAGGTACTTCCTGCATAATGGCCACTTTTCCTCACAACCGCCACCTGGTATTTGGATCGGGCTCCTACACTACCTGGCAACCAGACGGGAACTGCTCTTCTGACGGCGGTGGGATTCAGCCACTCGTGTCCCATGTTATGCCGGCCACAACGCCACCAGGCCCCTGAGGAAAAGCATGGGCCTCCCACGGCCTTCTCTGCCGCCAGCGGGCCGTGCGCCAAACGCGCTCCGCAGCCGCAGCGCCTTCCCGCACAGCATCCCTAGGCTGAGCCTGTGCCCTCGGTGAGCTTGTTTAGAATTCCTGAATGGCCGTCACGGATATCTGCCCACGTTAAATACAGCTCGGCGGGCACGGCGCAGGCTCTTGGCCAGGCTGCGCCCCTCTTCCGGCACGTCCGGGCCCGGCGCGGGGCCGCCCCGCAGCCCCTGGCGCGGCCCGCTGCCCCCGCGGCCTGGGCGGGAAGCCCACCCCGCTCTCACCTGCGCTCCCGCGGCCTCGGCTCTCCCGGCGCCGCCGCGGCCGGCGGCCGGCACTGGCCCCTCCCCCGCGGTTTCATAACCAGGGCGGGAACGGGGGGGCAGCGGCTTCGGTCCTGCCCCTGGAGCGGCACCGAGTTCGCTGGCCTTGGCGGCCCCCGCCAGCCTTCGCCGCAGAGGGGCAGGGGCAGCGCCATCGACAGGGGAAGGCCGGGGGCGGCTCGGCGTGCTTGTCTAGCCCTTGCCCGCCTGCACCGCTCCTACCCCTGCCGGCCTTCCCGGCCATCAGCACGTGCAGCACCTCCGGCTCCCCGGGAGCGAGAGACGGCTGCGAGGGCCAAGCCGGCCTGAAATGCGCGGTCCGTCTTTGCCTCTTGTTTATTTGATGCAGCACGTAAAATCATATGCCCCTCATTTGTTTGCAGAGCATCAAATTGTCCTATTAAAGCTGTTTGGTAAGGTCCCCAAACACGGCAATCAAAAAAACAACCACCCACCATTTCCACAAGAAAATTCACCGGGTGTTAGAACACAACAAGAACAATAGCATCAACGCCATCAACAACAAAAGGCGCTTCAAAAGCTGATAACAAAGTCCTGTCGAGAGCAGCTCAGAGAGTACCAGATCCTACATGACGAAGCTGACAAGAATGGGGAAGGAAGAGCTTTACCATGACAGAGGGAGGTACCAGCACTTCCCTCCGCACCTGCAGAGGCTGCTGTCTGCCGACCACATACCGTGGAGAACCTTATTCCTCATCTTTGGAGCAGTAAGGTCCCTGGCTTCAGGCCTACCAGTAACTATGCTGAGTAATTAAGGTACAGTCATCCACACAGGAGGCTATGAACACTGGTTCTAAAGTAGCTGTACACAGCCATGATTTCTGTAGGGTTTGGTTTCAAGTGCTACTATTTTTTGCGCTGTAAATATAGTTACCTATGGATTTTCTCACATACTAGAAAATGCACGTAAGAACTCCCCAGAAAAAACAACAAATACTCAGTCTCTATGCTCTTTCTCTGAACAGTTGTATTAGTTGCTGTATCAGAATGCCATACACAAAAATGATAATCACTAATACAATCTGGTTTTGGACATACACATCAAACGAATTAGCAGATCTTAAAGTCTCATCAGGCACTTTTGTAATACACAGCATTTGTCTTAGAACTGTACCCATTAGCAAAAAAAACAGTGTAAACAACACATTTCCATCTTGGAGCTATCACTGTTAGCATTTTTTAGAAATTGAATGGAATAGAAAAGAGTAGAAAAGGCTATTACCTATGGAAGGGACCTACAGTGAACATCTAGTCCAACTGCCTGACCACTTCAGGGCTGACCTAGTCAAAGCGTGGTATTAAGGGCATTGTCCAAATGCCTCTTAAAAACTGACAGCCTAGGGCATTCGCCGCCTCTTCAGGAAGATTGTTCCAGTGTTTGACTACCCTCTCTGTAAAGAAATGCTTCCTAATGTCCAGTTTAAGCCTCCCCTGGTGCAGCTTCAAACCACTCCTATGCATCCTATCACTGGATCCCAGGAGAAGAGATCAGCATCTCCCACTCCACTTACCCTTCTCAGGAAGCTGTAAGGAGTCATGAGGTCACGCCTCAGCCTGCTTTTCTCCAACCTAGACAAGCCAAACTCTGGACACAGGTGAGGACTTCAACACCATTCTTAAATTTTGAGTCCCAGAACTGCACACAGTACTCAAGATGACATCACATGCTAAATGGAGTGTTTGTGTCAATGACTAACACCAAGTTTGATTTCTCTCTAGAGAATCATGAGATATTTTTGTAATTGTTATTCACTAAGGGCAAGAACAGCAGACAGTACACAATTAATGCACAGAAAGAATGCCACTGGCTTGATGTCCCATAGCTCAATGTCTGGATGGTACTTTGAGCAAGCAAGAGAAAGACTAATTTGAAAAAATATTTTTTCATGTATTTACAGTCTCTTAAAACTGCAGTATGCAACAAAGTCAGAGGAGTAGAATTCTGCATGGGCAGGATATTAAGCTTTTTTTCATTATGCCTTTTCTCAGATTTACAATTATGTTGAGGCTCTGCCTCAGTTATAGGACATGGTTCCCTCTCACAGAATCAAGTTGTCGCATCACTAGGTCTGGAAAGCTATATTGTAACTAAGATCAGCTTCATCAGTAATACCATTAGGTGTTCTGCCTCCTTGTTTCCAGGATCTTTGTCCAAAGCATGAATAACTTTGGCTGCTTTACCTAAATATACAATTATATACAAATTTATAAATCATATACAAATATATAAATTATATATACTGATGCATATATCATTAGAGTTCCTAGAGTTTGCCATGCAAATGAAAACATGCCTATATTCCATGAAAAAGTAAAACAAAATATAAAACCCTAGAGATGAAGGAGCAAGTGTCATGCTGTTTGACCTCCTTCTCTTCCATGACCATTGCTAAGCTGCCCATACCAGGAAAATGAACAAAAATATCACTATCATTATGACCTCATTTACCTGAGCACCCTATCTTCCCCAAGCCTTGGGGGACAGGATTGCAACAGCCATGCATTTAATACTCTCACCTTGCAACCAGCATTGGTTGTGGCCAAGTCCCACATGGGCAGATCTGTCTTAGACATGCTATCTTAGATGCACATGGGATATTGATACAGAAATCAGCATGCAAACATAACACAGGGCAAACACTGGATATAGACTATTAATGGATGACAGGAGTTTACCTTTTTTGACCTTCATTAATGTACATTAATTTGATAATGGAAATCAAACCCTCAGAACTTAATTGAATTAGGGAATATCTATGCCAAAGAATAGGGTTCGGTTTTGTTTTAGTAAAAGACAAAGTTGTTGCTTATACTCTCAACTGTGATTAACTCTGAGGACAAGATAAGTATCTTTCTTCACTTTTTTAAAGGATACTCATGGTGACACCATAGGCAATGACCTGTCATGGGTGTCTACCTTCCAGGGACCCTATGCTGGTAAAAGTGAACAGAGGATTGGTCGCAGAAGAAATTAAGAGGAATGGTTTCTAATGTCCACTTTCTAACACAGAATTTCACTGTATGTGAAGGGCATCAGCACAGTTATTTTCTGGCTCTTATGAAATTTAGGGCACTTGTAAAAATGCCCAAGTACTGCTCCAGAAAAGTGGAAGATTTATGGCATACTCTTTCCTCTCTTCCTTCTGCAAGGCTCTCAGTCTTTCATTTTTCCACCAATTGAATAAACATCACTACAAACCTACAGCTGGTCCTTGGAATTGTGTCCCAAGTCACTTGGAAGCAGTCAAGAGCAGGCAGCCCAGTAAGGTCTCATAGTGCTCCTTGTACAAGCCCTGCCCCAGGGGAAACTGCACTCGGAGACTTAAAGATGAGGTCCGGATTATTCAGATAGCAGTTTTCAGAGGAATGGAAGAGTGACTGAAAACAGTTAGCAATATCGGGCTGAAAGAGAAATACGGATGTCATGGCAAACTGAGGTGATGCCACCCTCTAGGCCCAGGGAGAGTGACCATGCCATTCTCACAAGCGAGACCACAGTACTTCACTTGGGTGGAAGCCGGCCTTGGGGAACCTCCTGCTCCAACACCAGGGCGGCTCCGGGCCCTGCAGGTCAGCTGGCTAGTACAGCACAAAGATGAACGAACTCACGTACAGGAGCCAAACCCAGGGCTGGGCAGAGTGGGCAGCTCCTCCCAGAGCTGCCTCCCTCCCGCCCCCGCCACGAGGGGGATCCCCGCCAGGCAGACTTCCCCCAGTCCCCTCCTCACGCCACGGCTGCAGGCCCTTCCCAATATGGAGGTAGGGGGGAACGACGACGGCGCTGGCCTCCCGGCACCCTCCTCCAACCCCACCTGCCTGGGCAGAGCCCGCTCCCGTTAATTGGATCAAGGGCCGGGCGGCGGGGGCGGGGAGGCGGGAGCTGTGCCGAAGCTGCCCCGCCGCTGCCATCGGAGCACCCCGAGCCTGGGCCCGCCCCGCGGGAGCTGCTGGAGGCGGGGCGGGACCCCCGAGTCCCGCGGTTGAAATAGGGGGAGGGCTCAACCGGTCCCTCCCCCAGGTGGCCGCTGCCCGCCGAGTGTCCTGTCCTGTCCTGCTGCGCCGCGCCGCCTGCGAGGTAAGCGGCGGGGTCACTGCTGTGGGCTCCGCTCCCCCGGGCCCGGCGCCTTTCGGACCTGGGCCTCGTGGGGTGCCGGGGGTCCTGGCGGCGGAGCCCGTCCTGGTCCCGGCGCCGCCTTCCCGCGGCGGGCAGCGTGTCTCGGGACGCGCTGGCAACTGTGAGGGAAAAGTTTCCTCATGGAAAGGGGGCGGGTGGGGGAGGCGGTACCCGGCTGGGCGCTGGCTGTGGGCAGGAGGGGACTGGGAGGCGACTCGGTGCGGTTTGTCCGGAGGCGCAGCGGAGACCCCCGGTAGGTGCGGGAGCGGCGGCGAGCGGGGCTGGGAAGGGCAGCAGGGCTGCGGTCCCGGCGGGTTGTTCGCGAGGGGCTGGAGAAGCCCTTGCCAAAGTTTCGCTCCCTTTGCGTCCCTAAGCTTCGCCGGGTGCCCCGCCGCCGGCCTCCCGGGGCCGGCCCGCTGCCGCCGCCCCGTCACTGGGGGCTGCTGAGGCTCCCCCTTCCTCCCTCTGGAGCCCGCGCCTCCGCTCCGCCGCGGGGACAGGGGCCTCTTTGTGCCGGATCCGCGCAGAGCAGCTTCCCACTCTGAAACCGGAGCCGCGGGCGCTGGCAGCGCTGTGGAGAGTGGGGATAAAGCGGCTTCCCAGGACCCCCTGGGAAAGGGGCCGCGCCGGGGCCCGTGCTCGCGGGGCTGCAGTCCCTTGCCTCCGGCGTCCTTGTTGCTGGTCTGTGAGCCGGACCCCGGGCAGCTGAATAGAGAAGTTGGGCAGGATGGGACAGTTTTGTCCTTGTTCGTCCTCTTTCTCCCTTCTGGCTGCCGACAGTAGGGAGGGGAGGGCGAGGGATAGGCACCAGGGGTGCTGCCTGTGGCCGTGTCACCGGGCCCCTGCCAGGCTGCTGGGGTTACCGTGTCCTCTCCAGCCTAGGGCAGGAGAAAGCTGATAAACAGGGAGGGTATTAGTGGGCCTGAATATCCAGTGCTTGAGAAGACAGTCTGATTTGTCACTGGGCACGGGAGGAGGGTTCCATGGTCTCTCTGCAAAGCTATCGATAAGTGAAGCTAGCGTGGCCCAAACGCATTAACCTGTTCCACCACTTTCTGTGCCAACTATGTGTTCTTTCCTTGCTTCAGTTCTTCAGGTATGCAAGAAGGCTCAGGGCTTGGTGGGGCAGGCGAGGCTAGCTGACCACCACCAGACACTTGTTCCTGGCCCTAGGAAGTAGTCTGGCCTTTTTGTTCCCTCTTTGACAGTCCTTATAGAACTGGTGCTCCCTATTTCCTGAAACTAGAAATTAATTTCCCTCCCCTTCAAATCAGCTGCTGGTCTAATTTGCACGAAGAAATTTCTGATATGATGGTAATTGATTGCAGTACAGAACCCAAGCAGAGCCTCCCACTCCACCGTGGAACTGAAGTGTCACTAAGCCTTGCAGTGGGTGACTCAAGTCATTCCCGGGAAGGAATGAGAGCAGAATGCACAACTGCAGTGTGTGGGCTAAAATGACAGGGTCCAGATACTCCGTGCTCCAGGTGTGAGCTGGTCTTTGGGTGGAGTCAAAGTGGAGCTTCTCCCCATGAGTTGCGTAACTGAGCACATTCTTTCATGTAAGGATTCACCTTTCCCTGAAGTCCACAATGTGCTTTGTGTGAGATGGAGTCTGCTTTGATAGTGTTTTGTGTAATTAATGGTATTTCTCTAGAAGTTCCCCAAAATATTTACTAGATTGTCCTTTGACTTGCAGCTTGGAACAGAATGAATGTGTGAGCTTGATCAGCTGCCTGCTGCCTTCCCTATTTTGTGCCTGGTCCATTGTATTGCTTTACTGGCTTTTTAAATTTTTTTTGTTTTTTCTGATCTGTGTGTTTGAGCGTCTCTGGCTTGCCTGCACTTGTTCAGGTGAAGACTGTCTTCTTCTCAGGCTGCAAAAAGCAGTAACTTCAGTGTGTCACCTATGTATAGGGCTGAGAACAACTGCCCACCTGGAACTCTATTTTCAAATGTCAACAAGTCAATAGGCTTGTGTGTGGCTGGACTATGCCAAAATGCTGCAGGTCACTGGCAGACTGTAATCAAGTCATAAAAGCGTGAAAATTTTATGGACCCAAATTAATTTCTTCACAGGATAATGACTGGTGCTTTTAGTCATTTTAGGTTTTTGTGAATTTTACAAGACCTAGCCTGAATCTTCTGGGCTTTCCCTGGATGATCATGAATTTCCAACAAAAAGAAAATAAATATGTATCAGAGGATCAATGTATATTTACACACATGCATGCATATATATATATATATATAAAATACAATAATATATATACATATATAATGTGTCTATATATACATACATACTACGATAATGTGATACAATACATATATACAGTAATACAATAATGGGACTTCTTAGGAGATGCAAAGCTGTCAGAATGCCTTTATCACCACAACGGGGTGATGTGAGCTTCTGTCAGAACTCATGCTATCAGCAAGCATGGCAAACACTGTATATTCTTTATTCTGGCCATCTCAAGGGCTGGAGATTATTCAGTTGTTGTTTGAACCATTTGGTCTGTGTCATGGCTAGCATCCAGGGATTGAACTGGGGACCTCAAAAGCTAAAAGTATCTGCTTGTAGCCTTAGTGGAAAAAGCTATACTCTTGATCAGTGAGCATTAATAAACTGCCTCTATTTTTGCCATCAGCTGATCAGTGATCTGTGACTTTGGGCTGCTCTTGAAAGTTCATGGGGAAATGCCTGAACAATATGAGAGCTGTTTAAGCCCTTTAAGGAGCTCTTATCTTTTTAAAACAGACTTTGTGATCAGGCAAGCTGTTTTATCGCTAGTTAGTGTGATGGGTGTAGAGGGTACTCTGTGAGAGGCAACGGTGACAGATAGATTTTAAAAAAGCCTTAATATTCCAGTCTAAGACTTCAGTGGATGGGTCAGAAAACAGTGACTACTGTATCTGGAAGTTTTCATGAAGAATTTAGGATTTTGCTCTTTGAAGAATTACAAAATAACTTGGCATCCTTGAAGCAGTTAAGAAGCTGTTCAAGTGGTAGCTTTTTGCCACTACCCTGTAGCACAGTCATCACTGTAATTTAGCATCAAAATGTACTCTTGACTGTTTGGGCACAAGTTTTTCCAGCAGCACAAAGGAAAATGTTGTGCAAAGAACCTGGTGCATCCTCTGCTGTAATCATCCAGCTTTGTTTTAATGACCAGTACATCAGTCTCCTGTTCCTTCATGCTGAAATGTGGGCTGAAGCTGGGCACTGCTATAAGGCAGTAAATGTGACTGGCATCCAAATCACATTTGAGCCTTCACTGGTTTCTCCTTGCTGTGAATGGGACGATGGGAATGAGCCTTTCAGACTTGGGATAGTTGGAATTTGTAGTGATTGTCACTGGGCACGGTAGTTTGTTGAAAAGGCATGTGAGGGATCTCCATGGTACCGGGGGCCTGGATCCAGAGGCATTAGGTTTGTATGGGATTTTCTGCTCTCTTAATAGGTGACTGTGGTAGGACTCTGCTTATTGCAACTATGTTTTTCCAGGCTAGAGGAGTTAGAATTGCTGCAGGCAACCCATAACTAACAGTGCTGGCAAGCCTTCAGCCTCCTCAGTCCTGTCCCTACTGTGAGCTTGCCCAAGCTGTGTCTCTCCTGTCTGCAGGAAGATACAGTACTTGCCTCCTGCTCTCAGGGACCTAGTTCTTTCAGTCACCTAGAGGTGATTTGTTGTTGGTAGTAACTTCCTGGCATCCCTTAGTACAGTACCCCTGCTGCTGAGCCAAACCTCTCCCACTCCTGAGGGTGTTGAGCCACACCAGCTGCAGTACTGCTGTGCAGAGCTCTGAAGTGGCCTTGCTGCGTTTCCTGACAAGGGCAAGAAGCCTTCATGGAGGATTGAGAGAAGATGTAGCATATTTCACTTCTTGAATGATTACAGGTATTTACTTCTGCTTCTTGAGGTTTTCAGTCAGCTCTGCCTTGGATGAGGACTGGTGAGCTGTGTAACCCATGGGAAACCTTGCTGTTGACTCCAGCAGGCTTCTACTCCAGTGCAAGCAAACAAATAGGGTTTTGAGCTGCTTTAGGAAGCATCGCAGGAAATAAAGCTCACTGGATTGCTTTGTTGTGCTTGTGGTTTTATTTTTTTTAAAGCCTTCCAGTGTTCTTTCCTCACATGTTAGGTTGAATCCTGAGTAGCAGAAACTGAAATCATTCCTTTGGGCAGTGGACTGAGAAAGCAAATGACATTCCAGTGATGCTCAACATTAAAATCTATCCTGTCACGTGTGCA